ATCCAGCTAGGATGCAAGCTGGTGGCCTAACTTCTTGATGCAGTCTCGGAGGTTGTCTTGATCCTCCCCACTGCAGATCATTATGTGGCCGGGGGGTGGGTGGAGGATGCCACAGAACTCCTCACTACCGTAACAACTCTCCTACACTGTGCCCATCTTCCATCAATCCCTGGAAAATTCCTTGCCTTCCAGTGTAGCCTGGAAGTGAGTAGTGGCGATTGTTTGTTTTTAAGAATTATTTTATTTTATTTACTTATTTTAAATTGACCAGAGAGGGACAGAGCAAGCAAGTGAGACAGAGAGAGAAAGAGAGAAAGCAAGCTACCAGGTCCGAGACTCAAACCTGATCAGTCATGTGGAGGTTCAGCACCTTTAACCACCACGCCACCTGCTGGTCCCCGGGGTTACTAGTCTTGAAACCTGTTAGGCCATTTTAGTAAGCTCAGCATGGATGTATCCAGAACTTCTCTTTAGAGTAGGGGGTGGGGTCAGTAAGTAGTGTAGTGGTTAAGGTGCTGGTTTCCCACATCGCCAATCACAGTTCAAATCTTGGACCCAGGGGCTTGAAACACACCAGGCATGTGTGTGTGTGTGTGTGTGTGTGTGTGTGTGCCCAAAACTCCAGGGGGAGATGAGGAAAAGAGATTGTGGTGTGCCTATTCTCCCTGTGAGGTAATTCTCACTCTCTGTCTCTCTCTATGTCTCAGGCAAGCATATACACCCTATAGCAAAAATCTCTACATAAAAAATTTAAAAAAAGAAGAAGAAAAAAAAAAGAAAAGAATAGGGGGTAATGTACCACATATTGTTCTCTGCTTTAAGACTTGGGGGCCGGCAGGTGGCGTGGTGGTTAAGGTGTTGGACTCCCACATGATAGACCACGGTTTGGGTCTCAAACCTGGTGGCTTGCTTTCTCACTTTCCCTCCCTCTGTCCCTTTCTCTCCCTCTCTCTTGTCAAATTAAAGGATTACAATAATAATAGAAAATAAATAAATAAAATAAATAATTCTTAAGGAAAAAAAACTTTAGCTGAAAATGGTAAAGAACAGGAAAATCCAACTCCATAATCTGTTAGCTAAATAAAGTACTACTTTTTCAGGCTGAGGATTTTTATTTCTTTAGGAATTTAGCAAAGTGTCCTCTCCTAGAGGTTTTTTTGTTTTTGTTTTTGTTTTTTTTTTTTTTGAAGAGGTTTTCGCTATAGGGCGTGTGCACTCACCAGACCGACAGAGAGAGACAGAGAGACAGAAAGCGAGAAATCACCCCCCAGGGGGGATGGTCACGCCACAATCCCTTCTCCTCCATTCTCCTCTTGGGATTTTGGGCACGCACGCACACGCGCCCAGCGTGAGTTTTAAGCCACCGGGTCTGGGATGCGAACCACGGTCGACTACACGGGAGTCCAGCGACATAGCCATTACGCTAACTGCTGATCCCATACTAGAGATTTTGTTTGCCCTCAGTGAGTACAAGTGTTGTGTATACTGGACTAAGCATCAGGCTCATAGACAAGACAAATGGATGGCAGTCTGTCCCCAAGCTACAGGTCGCATTGCTTCAAGCCCTGCTTCATTACCTATACAGTGAGGAATACATTAGAATTATGGACCCAGGGGCCAGCAGATGGCATAGTGGTTAAGGCACTGGATTCCCACGTGGCTGATTGCAGTTTGAGTCCTAAACCTGGTGGCTTAAAAAATCACACCATGCATGTGTGCATGCATGTCCCAAATCCCAAGATGAGAATGGAAGAGAAGGGATTTTGGTATGGCCATCCCCTTGGGAAGTGATTTTTCAATTTCCCTCTCACTGTCACTCTTCTCTCTACAGCAAACACATGCACCCTATAGCAAAAACCTTAAAAAGAGAGAGAGAGAGAAAGAATTAAGGTCTCTAACAATCTATGATTTTTTTAAAGTTTTTCTCATCATAGGCATAAAAGAGTCATTCGATGTACAATTTAACAAATTTAACAGCTTAACATCCATGTAACCACCAGCTAGCTTAATAGAATATTTTTAGCATCTAGAGGCTCCCTGTGTTCCCTCCCAGTAGCTAACCCTTACCGCTGCCCAGAGGAAACTCCCATTCTGATTTTATCAAAATCACTTCCTGGAGGCTGGCAGGTGGCCTGGTGGTTGAGACTCTAGACTACTACATGGCAAACCACAGTTAGGAGTCCTGAACCTGGTGGCTTGCTCTGGTCAAGTTAAAAAATAAAAATAAGGGACCAGCAGTTAGCGCAATGGCTATGTCGCTGGACTCCCAAGTAGTCAACTGCAGTTCGAGTCCAGAACCCAGAGGCTTAAACTCACACAGGATGCGTGGTGCGTGCGTGCCCAAGATCCCGAGAGGAGAATGGAGGAGAAGGGATTGTGGCATGGCCATCCCCCCTGGGGGGTGATTTCTCACTTTCTGTCTCTCTGTCTCTCTCTCTGTCTTTCAGGCAAGTGCATGCACCCTATAGCAAAAACCTCTCCCAAAAAAGAATAAGTAAATAAAAATTAAAATAATAAAATTAAATAGTTCTTTAAAAAATAACTTTCTCATCTTTTCTTACAATGTTAACAAATAAGCACCCCTAAAAAGTTATGTAGTTTGGTTTTGCCTGGTTTTGAATTGTATATAATAGAATGCAAAAGATATTCTTTTGTGTACAGTTTCTTTTGTTCAACATTCTCTTTGTGAGATTCATTCATACTGTTACAGATGGCTGCGGCTCATACATTTCATTGTTATATAGTACTCCCTTATGAACAGAACATGATTCAGTTGCGTTACTTGACATTTGATCTAGGATGTTTTATAAATACATACAAGTATACACATACACACACTCCCACTCCAAATATAGCCATATAAACTCAGAGCTGACTTCTTTATAAACTCATGATGTTGAATTTGGCTTTAAAGTGAAGCAAAATCCACCTCCCCATCAAGTTCCTGGCTATACTGCTAATGTGTTTTGGGGTTTGTTTGTTTATTTTCATTCTCTTGAAGCCAAATTCTGAAGCTAGGGATGTAATCCATCTCCCTCAACATGGGTAATATCACAAGGTTATCCCATATCTTGAGTCGTGAAGCATGTAAGATGAACACTATGATGGGCAGCCAGTGGTGTGGTGGTGAAGGTGGCTGGATCCCACATGGCCAACTATGCAGACTGAGTCCCCAACCTAGAAGCTTGAGGAACATGCTAGGCACATGTGTGCATGTGCCAAAAATCCCAAAAGGAGGGAGAAAAGGAGAAGGGATTGCAACATGACTGTCCCTTGTGTAGGGTGCTTTCTCAGTTTATCTCTCTCTGTGTGTCTCACTCTGGCAAGTGCATCTGCCCTCTGGCAAATTAAAAGAAAAAGAACACCATGGTCGCTAATTGAGCATTGCCTGTGGGAAATCTAGAAAATGATTAGCATATAGCTTTAAAGAATTTACTCTGAAAAGTATTAGAAGAAATATTTTCTGTGATCTGTTTAGGGAAATAGTAAGCCAAGTGAGACAAAACTCTTCTCAACCTGTTTCCTGTGACTGGTCCCCACCCCACTGGCATTGCTGGTAGCCCTCCTGCCATGAATTAAATTCAGATGCCCTTGAACTTTTGCTACCAGGAGTGTGTTGGAAAGTGCCATGGTGCTACTCAGACAGATGATCCATTTTCAGCTCAGACTCCAAGCAGAAAGTGAATCTTCTCATTAAAAGATTAAACTCCCCCTCCTGTAACCATATTCAGGCAACCTTAGGTGCCACAAGAGACCACAGCCAGCAACAGGCAGAAAGTTCAGGTTGGAAGTGCGGAGTTGCCACTTAGTACAGGGTACAGGCAGACACAATGGTGGGTAACCGAGTCTTCTGCAGAAATCAGGTGTGGAGTTGCCATTTAGTACAGGTACAGGCAGACACTATGGTGGGTAACCGAGTCTTCTGCAGAAATCAGTAAAGACTCCTGGAAAGCTTGGGCTTTGAACAAGTTGGTAAGTTAAGATTTAATTATAAGGTTTCAACATAATAAGCAGTTGCCCAGTCACAGAACAGACCTCCCAGGGAAAAAAACGACTCTGGACACACACCAGCAGCACAGAACCCAGCGGGGCCAAAACCTCTCCTTCGGCTACAGGCGTGAGCAAGAGTAACTGATGGTCCTTGGGTGAGAAGAAGCTGACACCCAGTGGCATAGCTGCACCTATTCTTAATTAATTCTTTTTTAAAATAATTTTTTGAGAAGTTTTTACTATAGGGTGTGTGTGCTCACCAGAGAGACAGAGAGACAGAAATTACCACCACCACCACCCCCCCGCGGGATGGCCATGCCACAATCCCTTCTCCTCGCTGGATCTTGGGCACACATGCACAGGCACCTGGCATGAATTTAAGCCACGAGGTCCAGAACTCGAACTGGAGTCGACAACATGGGAGTCCAGCGACCTAGCCACTTATGCCTATTGCTGGTCCCAATTCTTCTGTCAGCTTCATAAAGCTCTTTCCAGAAATCATTACCTATAACTACCTGGTCACACACTACCTAGTCCCAAAGTGAGAAATTCCAATTAAGATAAAGCCTTACTGAAATTCTGCACTAATAAAGCTGTCTGCCCAGCTGTGCCACAATTAAACAAATAGGAAGGCCTGGAGAGCAGGTGTCCCTTGTTGGTTTTCTGGGCATCTCAGTGGTTCGCACCTGTGTAGCAGTTTCTGTTGTGTTCTGATGGGTCCTTCCTTGAGACTCCCCTGTCCCATTCATTTTGATTTCTATATCCTCAAGATGAAGGGCCATTTCTCCATCTGAAGAGGGTTGCTAAGATCAGGAACCACATCTAGTACCACCAAGGGAGGGAAATGTCTTAAGCACTGTTTCTCCTCCACCTGAGTGGTGCCATGCAAGACAGGAGCCATGCCAGCGCTGGCATACTCTTCCTTTGCCCACCACACACAAGCCTCCGTCCCCCCTGCAAGGACCAACAGCCCAGCCGAGACCTGGCTGACCCTTTTTCTGTCTCCCCAGGTTTCGGCATGACCACCCCTGCGACGGTGGGCGGGAAGGCCTTCCTCATTGCCTACGGGCTGTTCGGCTGCGCAGGGACCATCCTATTCTTCAATCTTTTCCTGGAACGCATCATCTCGCTGCTGGCCTTCATCATGCGCGCCTGCAGGGAACGCCAGCTGCGCCGAAACGGCCTGCTGCCCGCCACCTTCCGCCGCGGCTCCGCGCTCTCGGAGGCCGACAGCCTGGCGGGATGGAAACCCTCAGTGTACCACGTACTGCTCATCCTGGGCCTGTTCGCCGTGCTGCTGTCGTGTTGCGCCTCGGCCATGTACACCAGCGTGGAGGGCTGGGACTATGTGGACTCGCTCTACTTCTGCTTCGTCACCTTCAGCACCATCGGCTTCGGGGACCTGGTGAGCAGCCAGCACGCCGCCTACCGGAACCAGGGGCTCTACCGCCTGGGCAACTTTCTCTTCATCCTGCTCGGCGTGTGCTGCATCTACTCCCTCTTCAATGTCATCTCCATCCTCATCAAGCAGGTGCTCAACTGGATGCTCCGCAAGCTGAGCTGCCGCTGCTGCGCGCGCTGCTGCCCGGCGCCGGGTGCACCCCTGGCTCGGCGCAACGCCATCACCCCAGGCTCCCGCCTGCGCCGCCGCCTGGCCGCGCTGGGCGCGGATACTGCAGCTCGCGACAGCGATGCCGAGGGCCGTCGCCTGTCGGGCGAGCTCATCTCCATGCGAGACCTCACGGCCTCCAACAAGGTGTCGCTGGCGCTGCTGCAGAAGCAGCTGTCCGAGACGGCCAACGGCTACCCGCGCAGTGTGTGCGTCAACACGCGCCAGAACGGCTTCTCGGGCGGCGTGGGCGCGCTGGGCATCATGAACAACCGGCTGGCGGAGACCAGCGCCTCCAGGTAGACT